AGCAGTGGTATCAACGCAGAGTACTGCTTCAGAGCGTAAAACGAGAAAAAATGAAATTACTTGAACATCTTGGAAAACATGCTCATAAGGGTTATCCGACCTGCTGGTTACGAAAATCACATCTGCTTAGCAAGAGAGCTTCATATTTTAGAGTTACGTTGAGAAAAATTTAGAAGGACATGATTTTTCCAGAATTCACCAGCCCTTCTAACTCCTTTGAAAAGGAGTACGCGGCTACTTTCCAGCGCTCCATAATTTACAAAAGAAGTACTATCGAAAATTTCTTTCTGAATGTACTGGGGGCAATACGCGCTGCTTCACACCTTTGCGAAGAAACGTCCGCAGAAAGTTTTGAGAATACTGAAATCGAGATATCAAGGACATTCCGCATACCGAAAGATTTGCCTTGATGAGCTGAGCACAATGCATTTTTCGGATTTAGAAAATATCCACTCCAAAGAAAGTTACGGCGAGTAGAATCTGGAAACGAGTGATTTTTCCAGAATTTACCAACGCTTTTTTCTCTTTTGAAAAGAAGCCTGCGGCAGCTTACTAGCGCACTATAATGCACAAGAAGAGCACTATCGAATGGTGCATACTGGAAGCTTTCAAGTTGGATAGGCGCTGCGTTACATACTTGCAAAGGGACCTCCTCAGAACAATTTGAGAAAACTGAAAACAAGATATAGATGACATGACGTATGTAGAAAGATTCGCCTTGACGAGATGAACACAGTGCTGCTTTCGAATTTAGAATATATTAATTCCGAAGGAAGTTATGGCGCTGCATAATTTACGATAATCCGGAATCGCGAAATTTCTGGAATTTCGCGCAATTCCCGTTCTGTGAGTGGTATTGTACATTGCACAGCACGCGCGGCATTCCGCGATATGTGCTTCTCATGCGATTTCCAACCATTTCCCTTTGTCTTCCTGCATTTTGGGACCCGTCATACTTCGCCGAGAGAAGCCCACTTTCACACATATCCATGCAGAATGAGCTGCCCACTTTCACACATATCCATGCAGAATGAGCTGCCCAGTTTCACATATATCCATGCAGAATGAGCTCTTAAACTATACCTGCCCTATTTCTGCTGTGCTCAATGGAATGTGTACGTAGCCTCTGGAATAAGCACACTGAATGGTCCATTTACACTAAAATTCCAGGAAAGAAACTTATATCCCACAACTAGGCACATCCGTATATTGGAAGATGCGCCTCGCCGAGCTGAGTTGAATGGTACTCTTATATATAGAATTCATAAATTTTGAATCAAGATAAGGTCTTTTTTTATAAAAAGTTAGGCGTTGCGCGACAAAGTTAGGTGACTTTTGCCGCTTTTTCCGCCGACTTTTGTCGCGCGACGCGGCAAAAGTCACCTAACTTCGGCGGCGCCGCGTAAGTTAAGTGCCGCCGCCATTTTTTTTTCACAAATTACGGATGGTATTGTAACTGGTGACCAGAAGTGGTGTAGAACCTTATTACCTTCTCAACATTATAATCATCTATCTTGAAATGAGTATATCAAATTTCCGAATAAGCAACTCAACGCTTTTTTTGATTAGGCTATTTGAAGATATATACTTTCCTACTTTCGTCTTCCATCATATATGTATTTCTACGAGTTTTCATTCCACCTACTCTAATGATCAATAAGATCTTAATTATCGAAAGCCAATTTTTGAGTGTAGTTTTTCCTACAATCAATTTCGGTGCATGTGTGATTGAAGATTTGGCTAAGAGTCCCAAATACAACACTAAATTTGCAATATTATTTGATTTGCTATATTATAATGTTTAGAACTTGCGCATAATTGACTAACTCCTCTGTTAACTCTGTTATACACTGTGATTGGTAAACTCAAAACTTCTACTTGCTTTATATCAATACGATATGCTTCACAAACTTACTCAAGCACGAGCACCTACAAAATTTTGGGGAAGCGTCATTTTATCCGAAAACGTGAGTAAAAACGTAACTCGAAATGCGGGAAATTCAGCTGCTGTCATTTGTGAATCCTAAGCCCTTAGCCTGAAAAATCTTCTTTGTTTCTCGATCTTAGTAATATTATCTTTAAGAACAATGCACGTCTTACAGTGCGTGTGCACAATTCAGAATGAGGGCACCTAGAGGGAGGAGTGATGGGCGGAGCAGCCCTTTGGCCCCGAGAAGGTGTGATGTACTTGAAGGGATTTCTGGAGGTGCCAAGTACAATTGCGAGGCAAAGCGGCTAAGCTTTGAGAACTCCTGCCACGCCGCCGATCTCTGAAGTATCCCTCTGACCTCGCTTTTGCTAAGATTAGAGCTTGCGCTGTGAACGTCCTTTCAGGTAAACGTATGACATCTGATGAATACGATTTATGGATGATAAGGCTAATGCAGTGAAATTTACTTCAAGTCATTTATACTATACAAAGGGCCGCATGCATTAACATCCTCGTCGGGGAGAGGATCGCAGCTTAGGAAGTTTCAAATTCTGAAGCTTCAGATGTCTGGATTTCACGCTGTATTTTCATCAGTGAATCCTATCCTTCTTTATGGACATTTTGAATAGGAGAGAAAAGCTGCACAGACTGCATTTTCCACTTTTTTGTTCAAATCCCTGATGATCCTCGGCGGCCGAAAGTCTTTTCTTCACAGTCGTCTTTCTTTGTTTCTTCGAAGTGAATGAAAACGTGCCAAAGTTGTACTGATCATATAACCGAACAATGCCAAGCATGTCTTTGATAAAAACAATTGCGTTATAGAAACATAGAGAGTTTCGATAAACCCCAACTTTCGATTTGTGGTCCATCGCGGTTTTCATGACTTCGGTATATCATTCGCTCTTATCGGAAACACGCTTTAGCACTGTTTGGTTAGATGATCAATACAACTAACACAATTTTTTTCACTCTGAAGAAAGAAAAATGACTTTCAAGAGGACGGTCGACCGCCGAGGATCATCAGGGGATCATATAAGAAGCTGAAAAATGCGGTTTGTGCAGCTTTTCGCTCCTGTTCAGTATGTCATTAGTGAAGGGTAGTAGGGCGGCGTGGCAGGAGTTCCCAAAGCCTAGCCGCTTTTCCTCGCAGAGGTACTTGACACATCCAGAAATTCCTTGAAGGATATCACACCTTCTCGGGGCCGGGCGGCTCCGCCTATCACTTCTCCCTCTAGGTCATTCTGAATTATGTACACGCACTGTAAGATGTGCCTTATTGCATTTGAGGATAAAAGAACTGAAATCGAGAAAAAATCTAGGTTTCTATAAGGGTGTAGAATCCATAAATGACGCAGCTGACTTTCAGTATTTCGAGTTATGTTATACTCGTGTTTTCGGATAAAATGGTGCTTCCTTAAAATTTTGTAAGTGCTCGCTCTTAAGTAAGTTTGTGAAGTAGAAACAAGCAGAAGTTATGAGTATTCCGATCACAGTATCTAACAGAGAAGTTAGTCAATTTCACGCAAGTTTTAAAATTTATCCAATACTAACGAATTATTAACGATACCTAAATACTAACGAATCTATAAGGAATTACCACACAACACTTGAAAATTTCTTTTTGATAGTTTGGATCTTATTGAGCTTAGAGTAGTTGAAATGAAAAACTCATTCCAATATATGATGGCAGACGAAAGTAAAAAAGTATATCTGTTAAGATATCCTAACTGCTGGAGAAAGAGTTGACTTGCTTATTCGGAAACTTCTATATATTCCTAGTAATGTACAATTGACCAACTAGATCCTCTAATGTTTCGAATGACCGGGTTTTCTATACAAAAAATTCTGTTCGATTTTTTTCTTCTGAAAATAGTGTTCAAATGCACTTTTTAGAAAGATGGCGTAGCAGAAGTTCCAAAGCACCCTCACTTGAGAAATGATAACTAGTTCTTCGTTTTTTCTCCATTTATCTCTCTTATTACCTTAATACCTGCATCTATGTTCCCGCTGCTTGCACATCTCGCAATGAGACCAGTAAATGGGTGGAGCAATGGGCGGCGCCTGACCTCTGAGACGCGGAGGTGCTAGAACCCTCCTGGGTGCGAATGCTGGTGCGAAGTTGGTGCGAGGAGAGGTGCTAGGAACTCCTGCACGCCCTCCGGGTAGTAGGAATACTTACGGGTGGTGGACAGCGTTAGGCCTAAGGCATACCTCACGCGACTTGGCCAAGTCGCCACTTTCACGAGACTTGGCGATTTGCCAGATTTCTACAAATATATCGTGCGCGCTTCTCGAACGCATAGGTGGGTAGCTTGTGTAAGTTGTTGCAAATGGGTTAAGTTCTGACCAAAGGAAACGCATTAACAACGAATTACACAGAGACGCTGTTATGCCAAATCGCGCAGCGACAGGAATCGGGCGAGCCATGCCTTAGGCTTTGAATCCAGGTGTGCGGAGCTTCAGGAATGCTAATGCATGCGGTTCTAAATCATTTTCAAGGTAGTAATAACCATGAGCATGTATCTTGGGGTAGGATGATGTGCACGAATTTTGGGTGATAATCCTACCTCGAGGAAGGATTTACCTCAAGGTAGCACTGAATACGGCCACTGGTTATGCATGAAACTGCACTCTTACAAAAGCTGTAAAGTATATGAGTTATTTTCACTGTGGATGCGATGTCTACAAGTGTCTACAAGTGTGGTGTATAAGATCTGCCGATAAGATGATAAATATTTTAGGTGCGATGTGGGACAATTATCGCTAAAATGCACGTAGAACTTTTCTTATGCCCTGGGATCCATCAACCATGCATCGAGCTTGGAGGTTCGTGCCAACCACTTTAAATGTTTCTACATACAGTAAAGTCAGGCACTGCATTGGTACCTATCGAATCAGTTTTACTACTCAAGTGATTGATGCGCCAAAAGGCTGTAAAAACTTTTTTCAGGCGAAATGATCAGTCCAAAAGAATTTACTGTTCGAGCCAATAAGGACAAGCAAAAAGATTGGAAGGGCAGTATTCGGATAGGGAAATCAAACCTTAGGTAAGCTCACAGACAAGTCAAAATCAATCTGCATATACTTCCGCACTGAATTTATATTGCATTCAGTTCAAATAATTCTGATACAGGTACCAATCTTGAACGCTGCGCAAGGCGCACTCGTTAAAAAAATGCTGCCCAAGGTTTACTGACAGAGCAAACATTACATCATGGCGTTACTTACAAGGGAATGGTCAAAATTCGAAGCGGCCATACCTAGGGCTGGTCACGTATCCGCGTTCATTATCTGATTCTCGGTCTCCTACACGAAGTTATGGCCCTCGATTCCGCCGTGGGGCCGCCGCATCATAAGTACTGTTCGCCCATGTAACAGCTAAGTTGGGTTCATAGCGCAGTGGTAAGTATGCGGACTCATAGGACGAGCCTTTTTTGTTTGCAAGTCCGATTCCTTCTACTTGCTACTCTTTTGCAACCCATTCCCAATATCTATATTGCTAGTAAAGCTCTCGAAGTCTTTAGATGTTGAATTATTTTTTAACCGCGTTAGGGTTGCAAAAGAGTAGCAAGCAGGGTCAAGCGTGTTGATGCGATCCTGGACCCTCATTTACGACCCCCCTCCCCAAAGGTACCCATCCGTACGACCCCCGCCCCATCTACCCCGCCCCCCTCCCCATCTACCCCCCCCCCCTCCCTCACCTCTCCTGCCACATTCCTCGCGGAAACTCGTATAAATGGATGTGAACCTCAAAAAACACCTGCGTGAGAACTTCAGTGAGGTTTCGGAAGCAGGTTTTCTACACCAATCGGTACATCCAACATCTTTAGCAAACGTATATGCCTTTAGTAGCACTTGAGCTTCTGAAAGTGTTTATTTTTTGGATTCTAGTCATGCCAGCAGGGTTTGATCTCCGTTTGAGACAATATTTTGCGGGAGCAACAGCGATTCCCATAAAAAAGAACTAAGTTATAATCTTTCAAAAGTGCGGCAAATAAGCGAATTTCTACGCTTGCAATTGTTTTCAAATTATTGTTCACTTGTTTTTATTTGATACATTGGTACACGGCATTCATGAATTTATTGTTAAGAACATGTAATAATTACTTGCTATTTGATTTGCTTTCAATCGTAGGTTTGTTATCCAAACTATCCCCTCTTACGACCCCCCCCTCACTGTAAGCCCCCTTTACGACCCCCCGTTGCGTCAGTCGCATCACACGCTTGACCCTGGTAGCAAGCAGAAGGAATCGGACTTGCAAACAAAAAAGCCGGTCGTCCTATGAGGCAGCACACTTACCACTGCGCTATGAGTCCACGTTCATCGCTAACGGGCGAGCAGTAGTTATGATGCGCGGCGGCCCCACGGCGGAATCGAGGGCCATAACTTCGTGTAGGAGACCGGGGAGCAGATAATCAAGGTGGATATGTACCCAGCCCTCCATGGAGTGTTCAACGGCATACAGCTTGCTGGGATTGGCCACTTCGAATTTTGACCACTCCTTTGTTAGTTACGTAGCTGAATAAATATTAATTTGGAACGAAACTTTTGTAGCACCATTTCCAGAAATATAACTCTTCGATTACCCAATGGATTTGCATGCATCTATACCTGGAAGAAGAAGTATGCGCTCTATAGATCCATGTAGCCGCTTCACAAAATGCAAAATTCTTAAACTTGCAATAGAAATCGGAGCAGTCAGCGTTGCAGGTTTTTAACCTGCTTCTTTTGAGTGTGCAAAGTTTGTGCTGGTTGAACGTCCCTGCAAAAGGTTAGCAAAAATGCCAAAAAAATTGATTGCTTTTTGCAGTGCTTGCTCCAAAATCGTAACTTTTTGCAGGAAGCGTAAGCTTTGCTCAGTCAGAAAGAACAGTTAGTAGAACCCATAATGCCGACTGCTCCGATTTTTGTTGCAAGTTTTCATGACCAAACACAGGTAATTCGATAATTGAATAATTTTTTTCGGTTTCGATCTCGGGGGCTTGCTTTTGTCAGAAGATAATAGAGGTACCATTAGAAAGGACGTGATTTCCTCTTTCAAACAAAAATAAAAATGTGTAAATTTATAGAGGCAGAAGGAAGTTATGACTTTTTGAACGTGGTGCGAAGGAACTTTCGTGTCAACATATATATATCAAGTCGTCTATGAAAATCAAAACTGCTCTCAATTTGCGCGAATTGCTTAATTAGGAACAGTTGGTCATAAAGCCCATGTTTATGACTGTTTGCTCTTTGCTGGACGTTTTAGGTTTTTGAGCATGGTTAAAAATTAAAAAACTGAAGGAGATTTCTTCATTTGCTCCTAACTTTCGATCTTTCTCTTTTTGATTCGTGGCAAAGGTACTGTAGTATACTTAGGGAAACTCAAAATTTTCTTCGAATATTCGCATATGGAATAATATTCGAAAATGGCAATCTTCGAATCGAATAATAATCGAACAGCAAATGTCAATCGAAGATTATTCGGTTTTCGAATATCAATCGATTTTCAGATACGAATTCATATAATTTATGCCAGTAAGACTGCCTATGACAGACAAAGAATCTAAGAATAAACTGTTTCATGTGAGTATCAAAGATAGATATTTTTTATGTTGAAATTTACGATTTTGAGTGATATACAGGGGTCCCAACAGTATGTGGATCTTTGGTTTGACCTCAATTTAGACTTACAGTATGGAGCGATTTATTGATTGTTTTTCACTGTTGTAAAATTACCGTAGGAAAACTGAAGAGAGTTTTGAGACAAAGAGCCGTTTGTCCAGGAATTTCTTATATTAGAAATTCCTGGACAAACGGCTTTACTTCTAAAGACACCATATATAGAATTTGCCATTCGTAACGCTTTTTTTACAATTTATGCCAGGTTAACTACTTTTTTTACAACTTATGCCAGCTAACAAGTGTTTTCCAACGTTTCAGAAAAGTGATTGCACATTCGAAAAGCTTGAAAATGCGTAGTAAAATCAGCATACGCAAAAACTCTGCTACCTGAATTAAGATCTTTCTTGAGGAAGTTCTTTTGGATGTATTTCGCAGTTGTTCCATGTGCTGGAACTTCCTAAACTGATAACACAATAAGAAAAACATGTGTGATTCGCTTTCTGCTGTAATTTGTAAGCTGAAGCCATCTTTGCAGGATATTACCCAAAGGTTGGGAAAAGACTTCCTGAGAGGTATTAGCGATCAAACAGTGTGAAAATGCTCTTGAGACTTCCCGTTCATGTTGTGGATATCGATTTTCCGAACAATCGATGCTTATCAAATTCTCGAATAGTCAATTCTTATCGAATTTCCAAATATTCGGTGCCTATGAATAGTCGAATATTTGATGGACATCAAATGATCGAATCATTACCATCGAATATTGTCTATCGAATAATACTCGAAAATGAAGATTTGGATATTCGACTATCGAATATTATTCGAAATCGCAGCTTTTTGATTATTCGAATTTTCGAATCACTCGCATTCAAATGATTTACTCGAATAATCGAATAATGATTCGATTCAGTCCGAAGTATATACTGTAGCAATGCACATAATTTTCTCTTTCAAACCAAAATCCCAGAATTTTTCGTAACCCTGCTTGATTTCCAGTCTGCCTCTAAATCTTCAATTTGTCATACTAATTCTTGGCAGAGGTACCGCTATAAAGAGCATTTCAACTTTCAAAGAAAATTAATTGTTAGAAAATCAATTGAAAAGAAAGGAAGTTATGATTTTTTTCAAAACTGGCGAACGGAATTTGGACCCATCTCATATATAGGTTCTCTTAAAAGTTCCTTTATTTCAACTGGCTTGGTATGGAATGTGCGGCTTCGTGACCTAGTTGAGGCTAGATATTGACCAGAGAGCAAGTGCGCGAGAGAGATGCAGACTCGTCTGGGCTCGAGCGGCCTTAATTAGGTCACAAAGTCCGGCCTTTTAGGAGCCAAGCCAATTCAATCAAAGGTTAAAGGCAGTGCATCAGCAGAATGGACCCTTGTCAGATTTTGGTAGTGTAGGTAAGTAGTAGACCCCCGAATACACCGTAGCCCCAATTCCACCTTCCAATTCATGCGCTAAGTCCTGAAAAAGAGCTTCAAATCTCCACTAATGACGCCCACTTAGTGGAATTGGGCGGGGCTGGTGGAGTTTTGTATCCCCATTATAGGACTTAGAGCATGAAATGGAGGGTGGGATTGGGGCTACGGCGTATTCGGGGGCTCTACTACCTAATACTACCAAGATCCGACAGAATCCATTTTGCTGATCCACTGTCTTTAAGTACACACTTTTTACTCGTTAATAACTCTCTTTCTACGAAGTATTCTGTTTAGCTCTAATACCATTCAGTAGGGCAGACTTCAACCTAGACTTGCAGTGTGAAGCGAAAATCACAGATCACTCTTCATTACCATAGGATTATGATGGGAACATTGAGCGTACAGCGCCATTGTGAGAAGGCCTTTTGAAGAAAAGACTTTCAAAAATTTTTAGATTCCACTGAACAACTTCTTATCAGTTTTTTATGCGTTTTGAGTGTTTTGTCACATTTTGAAAAACACTGAATAAACGTTGTTGCGCTTTATTTGGCATAAATTGAACGAAAAAAGTTTAACGGTAAAGTGCGAAGTTCAAATTCATAATCAGAAGCTCAGTTTAGCATGATAAAGTTTTCAGCGTGTTGGATATTCATTCTGGGGCAAAATGTAGCCACTAATGGCTTAAAAAGCTCTTCAAAGTTCCTACTGTAATCTACAGTACTGAAGAGAGTCGGATAAAAAATCTGCTTTACTGAAAGGTGCTCGAGGTTAAACGAAAGATTCTGTTACGAGAGTTATTACCGATTGAAATGTATGTACTTGCTTTTGGGACACCCTGTATGATAGGTTGAACCAAAAGTTCATTCGCACCATTTTCAAAAGATCGTAACTTCCTCCTATCATGATTTTTTGCATGACTAAAATTTTATTGAAAAGAGCAAATACGTACTCTCTAGGGGCATTTTACCTAATATCTTTTATGCTCTGCCGCAGAGATAAAATTGGTAAAACAAAGTTG